GGGTTTGGGTTAGTGGTTCGGGTCAGGGTTAGGAATTGGGGCGAGGTCTCGGGTTCGGGTTTAGGGTGAAAGGTTAAGGTTAGCGTTTAAGGATAAGTTTAGGGTTTAAGGTCGAAGGTGAGTGTTAGGATTGGGGGTTCAGGTTAAGGGTTAGGTTAGGGGGCTTAGAGTAGGGGGTCAGTGTTAGGGGTTGGGGCTACGGCTTCGGATTCAGGATTGGGGTGATGGGTTAGGGCTAGGGTTCGGGGTTAGGTAGGACCGCGGACTAGCGCCGGACCAGCGGACCATGCCTTAAAAATGAAAGTTCTGCTTAGCGGGGGGCGTCGCCAGCTTTCAGAACTAAGGTGGGCGCGTTGATCGGCCGCGACCGTTTGAATAATTCCTTATTCAGGCTGGTTTCATATTAGTGGTGTCTGCTAGTGTTTTTGCGGGCTCTCTTTTCCGATTCGATTTCGACGAATAGCGATTACGACACGCGACGACGACGCAAACGGCTCGTCTGTGGGCGTCTCCGTGGCGCCTGGGGGATCCTGTAGGGATTTTAGCTACCCACAGGATTCCCCCCGGGCACCACGCTCGCAACGGGTCGGGTATTTGGCATTCCCAACACGACTTCCGGACACCCCTGCAGGCCCGGGCCATCGCCGACAGGACAAGGAGTAGAAAGGAAAGGGGGAGGGACGGGGGGGGGCCCTCATGGATTTCAACTCAAGTCCCCACTGCCCCTGCGCAGCACGTTCAACGCAGGGGGCGGCGAGCCGTCTCCCCATCCCACCATCCAAAGGGGAATGCAAGGTCTCTGGAAACGGGGCGGGATGGGCATGGGTTGGCAACACAAGCGGGCCCACGGCCCAAAAAGAAGCATCATAGCTTGCACGTCCGTACACAAGACTGATCCACTGACGAGTCCAATTCATACTTCATTCATTGGCATCGAACGCACGCGAAACAGCATGCTCTCCCCCCTGGCAATAGAAAGTTGCCAAGCCGCTCCACACGATGCTGGATTGCAGAAACGGCTGGGCGCGGCTCGGAAAAACTAGGTCCGTCGGTTTCTGGAAGAACTCGGGAGCGCACTTTGAACGAGTTGTCATCGAATCGTTATCGACTTCCTTTTCCTCTCTTCTGCCCCTCCCCCTCCTCTTCATCCATCCTATTTCCTTATTGATAGCTCCGTAGCGTCGCACACCTGAATTTTCTCTACAACGTACCGGCCGTGTCGCTTGAGACTTCCTCGCAATATACGATCATGAACCTTGATATTGCGACAGCTTCCCAGGATTCGCATGCGCGGCACGATGAGCGCGCGGAGCGGCAAAGCAACAGGGCGGAAGAGAAACTGCTCCGTTCGACGCGTCCCATGGCAACGCGCGCGGGAGACGAAACAGTGGCACTACTCTACTCTGCAGGCGACGCGGCAACGCCGAGAAGCCCAAAATACGACTCCGCTCCTGCTCACCACACTGTTGGGGCGCCTAGCGAAACCGGAAAAATTGTCAAATCTGGTCGCCAGGTCGCAACGCCTTGACCTGTACATGGCCCCGTGGCGACGCCTGGGAGCAACAGAAATACTACGCTCTGACCCTGGTTCATGATGTTCCAACCTACTGAAGGGGTCCCAGGACACACAAATAATACACACAAATAAAAAGATTCTCCATATGTTCCCATATGTTCTGGGTTTTCGTCTTCCCCCCACTTCCCGTATTTTCCCATGTTTTCTAAGGAATGGACGATTAATTGTGTCTGCATGTTCCTTTCCCTCCTGATACACTCTGACCCTGGTTCATGATGTTCCAACCTACTGAAGGGGTCCCAGGACACACAAATAATACACACAAATAAAAAGATTCTCCATATGTTCCCATATGTTCTGGGTTTTCGTCTTCCCCCCACTTCCCGTATTTTCCCATGTTTTCTAAGGAATGGACGATTAATTGTGTCTGCATGTTCCTTTCCCTCCTGATACACTCTGACCCTGGTTCATGATGTTCCAACCTACTTTAGCCTCGATCACCAGAAAGAATTGCGAGCACCAAAGAAAGGTACCGAAACTCGCAGGTTTTCACGTGTCGGGCCCTGGGAGACACTCGTCCGACACTGTTTCGACACGGTTCCGACACTCTTTCGACACTTTTCCAGGTGCTCGAAATTATTTCTGGGATGTGGTCCTTAAGTACGATGGGAGCAACATAAACCCTGATCTCGAAAACGTTCGCGAAAAGCGCGCGCCCGAACGCGCTCAGAATTATCAACTTCACAAGAACCTCCACGACCGAAACCCTCACCGGGAAAAGATGATCCTCGCCCGGCGGGGAGAGTTTCCTCGTTCGACGTCGTTGGTTTCCATCGCTCGACCCGAAATAATTGCCCCGTTCGACCCACAAAAGCTTCTCCGTTCGCCCACCGATTTCCTGGCTCCCGGGTGGATTCCCTGCTTCGTCTTTGACTTAACCCCTCCCGGCCAGCCCCAGTCACCACCCCACCCCCCACCCCCTCTCCAACAGGCAGAGCGCCCACCCCGCCTGGACCTCCACACTACGGCACGACACGAGAAGCGCCCCACCCACCCCCCTTCCCCTGCGGCCCCTCGATATCGTCGGGCACAGCTCCCCCTCCGCCGCGGCCTTGGGCCTCCGCGCGTCGGCACGGCACCACAGCCGCACCCGCGCTGCCCTCCCCCCCCCAGCTGGCAGGACTCTGGCCCACCCCCTGACCTGCAGCCAGCAGCGGCCCTTCCCCAGCAGGCAGAGCGCACCCTCCCCAAGCAGGCACATGGCCCCCTCCGACCCGACCTCTGCATGTCGGCCCGGCGCCAGGTGCCGCGCCCCTCCCCCCCTCCCTGCAACCCCTCCCCCAGCAGGTCCCGCCCCCTTTGATTTCGCTGCGGCAACGGAACCGCGCCCGCCCTCCCCACGCAAGCCCAGCCCCTCACCTCCCAACAGAAAGAGCACACTTTCTGCCCCGACCTATGCAGTCTCCCGCCCTGTCTGTCTTAAGTTCCGACCATGACTTTTGTGCCCGACACACATTTCGGCACGGCCCCGGCGCCGCGAGCCCCGCCCCCAGCCCCGATCGCCCTCCACAACAGCAACCAGACACCGCCCCCATCCCCCGCACCCAGCCCCGCTCCTCCACCCCCCGTAGGCGCCCCCCTCCGCCCCGACCTCTTCTCATCATCGTGCATCTCGTGTCATGTGTCTCCACGCGAACGCCACCGCAGCCACCTCTCCACCGCAGCTCCACCCCCACGGGCTGACCCTGCTCCTCCTATGCCACCGGCCCTCGCGCCCCTCCTGCCCCGACCCCTCGTCGCGCGGCGCGGCTGGGCCCAGCAGCCTCTCGGCCCACCGCAGCGATGTGTTTGCTGTTTTCCTCCTCCCCCACATCCCGCTCTGCTCCTCTCCCAATACCTGCGCACCCTGCCGCTCCCACACCTTCAGCTGCTGCACGGCACTGGACGGCACGGCACCGCAACCCCGCTCCACCGCAACCGGAGAACCCGATCGCTGAATGCCCCTCCTTTACTGCCAGGACCTGGCACGCGTGCCACGTGTTTCAACACTTTGACTGTACAGGCTTCCCCTAAAATCCCAGATCGTCCCCCGTCCAAACCCCACTGACGCACTTGCCGACGTGCCCCTTGAAATGGATGAGTGGGCGACATCAGGTCAAGATTCCACCCCTGAGCCTGTCCCCCCGTCCTTGGAAGGTTCTGAAATGCTCTGCTGACACAGTTCAGGAGGGAAAGAAACACACAGACGGGGTGGGGGGGAAACGAAAACCCGAAAAATCTGGAAAAAAATATGGGGGACCCCGGGATCTGTGTGTACTTATCTGTGTACCCCTGGGCCCTGTCAAGGATGTGTGATGACATCGAAAAATTTCCAAGAGTTCGCCGCACGGTCCGTGGCCACGCCGCCGGCCGGCCCCCCCACTCCGTTTTGGGGGACTCTGGAAGCCCTGGGCGTGCACAGTTCCCCCTGGGGACGCAGTCGACCCGAGAAGGAGGAAGAGGAGGAGGAGGAGGAGGAGGAGGAGGAGGAAGAGGAGGAGGAGGAGGACGTGGAAGAGGGGTCAACTTAGCCAGCTCGAACGAGCCACGGGGATCCGTCCACTCCCACCCGCCCTCCCACAACATCAGAAGCAAGTGCGTCGCGCCCGACGCCTGTCGCTCATCTTATATCGCGGGCGGGTAGACGTTCAGCGCGCGACATGAGCTGCGTCCTATTCCGGCCGCGTATTGAGCAACGTCGACGAGAAACAAAATCGCGCGCGATGTACGCCGCGCTCCGATCCGACCTCTCATGTTGCATCGTGGGCGACAACATGTCCACCGCGCGAAGTGCGCCGCGTCTCATTCCAGCCACGCGCGTTGCACCGCCAATCGTTTCGCTCCTGCCGCGCATGGAAGAGGAGGAGGAGGAGGAGGAGCAGGAGGAGGAGGAGGAGGCGGAGGAGGAGGAGGTGAGGGAGAGAGGGAGGGAGAAACTGAGGAAGAGGAAAATGCCCCTTGGGAATTCGCCGGGCGTCGTGGGAGCTGGTACACGCCTGAGGGCCTCTTGGATATATTTTCTGGGTTGGAACATTGTCAACACATGTAGGTGCTAACCTTACAATCGTTCAAACACAACATGAAAATCACAATGTGTATGTTGCCCCCCAGGACCTCCTGGACGCCTTTTTTTCGACCTCTTGGGGGTCTCCTAAGGCACTGGCTTGACTCGCACTTGCTTGAGGCATTATGACTTGCCGCCCGCCCGGCTCCTCAACCCGACGGGCCGCAGCGTCGACGACAAGGAAGTCCATATTGACGAGCAGGCGTCCCCGCGCGACGTGCGCCGCGTCTCATTCCAGCCACACGATTCGCAGCGCCGACGAGGAGCAAGTATATGTTGACGAGAAAAACGTCGACAACGCGGTGTTTTTGGACGGGTAGGACGGGGGGTCCCGCGTAGGGTTGGCCAGGCGTCCGCGCGCGACGAGCGCCGCGTCCCATTCCTGCTACACTTTTCGCAGCGTCGACGACAAGAAAGTCCATGCTGACGAGAGAAACGTTGACTTTGTATTGTTTTTTATGGGTAGGACGCGACCACCCGCTTAGGGCCTCCCAAGCGATGTTCATTCCATCCCATTCCTGCTACACGTTTCGCAACTCGACGACATGTTTGCGAGGAAACAATGAGTTTGTTTTGTTTTTGACTGTTAGGACGGCGGGGCTGCTATCGGCCGGCTAGGTGGGTATGTGGGGGTGTTTAATCATAAGAAGTAAGGATAGGGGGAGGAGGGGAAGGAGGAGGAGGAAGGAGGAGGAGGAGGACGGGTCGCCTAAGCCCCTCGGAGAAACCCTCCACCTGGGCGCTCGAGACATCCTCGAAGAGCGAGCCCGTGTCCCAAAATCGGTCCGCTGACTGCCGAAACACCTGACTCACCGGATGGTGTGGCCACCGCACCGTCCGGGATCACCCAACCGCCCTTCCCAACCCCATGATTCGCTCTCGTCTGAGACAACTGCAGGTCTCCCGCCTGGCTCAGACCCCATCCAAATCCATCCCCATACCCCTCCCGGGGTCCATCCCGACCCTCCCCTCCCTGGGCAACTCCTGCATGTAATCCTGCACCCCGTCCACGTCGTCCACCAGCGGCTGCCTTCCGGAGTCCATCAGCTCCAGCACCTCTCGATGGGGTCACTCCGGGCGGCCGGCAGCAGCGTAAGCCACCTGCCTTCGCGCTTCGCGCCGCGCGCGGCAACAGGCGCGCTCGTCTTCCAGCTCTCGCGCCGCCCCCTGGAGAGCAACGTCCCCAGAGGCCTCTGGTGGTCCCCAGAAGCCTCCAGAGGCCGCCAGAGGCCCCTGGAGGCCCAGACAGGGAACAAAACGATCCTCCATCCTCAATCCCCCCTGGAGGGCCTTTTTATTGACTCGGGAAAGCGTACTTGCATGGCATTTCGCCCTCCAAACCCCCAGCCGCCTTTTCAGGCAACACTGGTCCAAAAATGCGTACAAGTGCGTCCCGACTTGCGTGCAGTGCACACTTCCGTTCGAGCCTCGCCGCGCCCTGCCCCCCCCCCCTCCATGCAAGTGAACTTCGACTCGCTCGCCTTGCGCTCCGTTCGGCCTCAAGGCTGGCCCAAGCCAAGAAGGGGAGCGGCATGCCAGAAAACGGTGCGGTTGGCCCCGAGCCGAGCAGCGAGTGCAAGCTGTAGCTCGGCGGGTATGGGGAGGTAGTGCGGAAAACCTGCCGTGCCGCGACGTCAAGCATGCGGAGGAAGAGGAGGAGGAGAAGGAGGAGGAGGAGGACCAGTGCAAAGCCAAGACTCATCAATGATTTTGGAAGACACCCTCCCTCCAAACTCCCTCTTCGTAGACCCCTACATATGTGCATGTCCACTGAGAGAAGTGCCCCGTTTGGGGGACACCCGCGTGAAAATTCTGACGCGTGCCAGAACACCATTCTCGGAACTTCAACGTCACGAGTCAACCTGACTGCTGCGTCTTCACGATCCTGAATCGTGCCAGAACACAGATCCTGAGACTTCAACACCGCGAATCAACGGACCTGTTACGCCCTGACAATCCTGAATCGCTCCAGCACACCATGTCTGGCGCACTACCCTTGCAAATGTGTTATACAAAAGTGCTCGGAACTAAGGCGAAAGCCAAATGTTGAAAAGGAACCGCCCTCAATCCGCGAAACTCTTGCACTCTTTTGAAACACACGTGGGCGGCGCTAAAGTAAGAGCCACAGTTTCAGAATGACCCACCCTGAATCCGTAAGACTCCTACAAACATGTGTAACGCTCTCAGCGCTAAGGCGAAAGCCACATTTAGAAAACGACCCGCCCTCAATATGTCAAACTCTTGAAAAAATGATAAAACGCATGCGCACGGCGCAAATACGAGAGCCACGTTTTGAAAACCATCCGCCCTCAAACGAATGTGCGCAGCGCTGAGGCGAGAGCCACATTTTGGAAGCGGCCCACCCTCCATCTGTGAAATTGTTCATTTGTTCAGCTTCAAGCTCATAAGTGGTAAGGAAGTCTCAGGCGAAACGCCCTACCCGCCCTTCCGACTGGCCTCGGGGTGCGACAGGGAAGAGTTGTTCAGAAGGGCAAGGAATGGAGGAGGAGGGGGAGTAGAAGGAGCAGGAGGAGGAGGAGGAGGGGAAGTTGGAGGAGGAGGAGGAGGAGGGGGAGGAGGAGCATCAGCAGCAGGGAGAGGTGGGAAAGATGCCAGCAGCAGCAGCAGCAGCAGCAGCAAGGAGAGGTGCGAGCAAACTCGCCGCAGTCCAGAAGAAAGACGGCCTCCTCGCATCCCGCGAGCCGAGCGGGCCACGCTCGGACTCTGGCGGCGGCCACGGGCGGGCGGCTCGCCTCGTACGAGGCGCCCATGCTGTCCAGGGCCGACTTCACCTTCTTGCAGAACGGGCAGAAGGCCTGCGGGCGGGTCCCGCCCGACACTTCGGCGCTTCCACCACAGCCTCCTCCTCCTCCTCCTCCTC